GGTATTCTTGGACTACAAGCTCCATCATCCCTAGCCAAAATACCCAGAGGCAAAGAACACTGAGGGACACAAACGCCTGTAACATCTGGAAGGCTACATGCCACTGCCGTGACCTTGGCTTCGAGTGATCTGGATGAAGGAGCGAATCAAACGAACATTTAATGAACATTTTGAAGAAATCTTAACAGGGATTTCGAGGGGAACATTTGGCAGGTTTTATGCCCTTCCCATTTCCCTCCAAAGTTTATTTCCAAATAATAACAAATAATATATTTGTACATTCAGGTGAGAAACCACCACCTCAAAGGGGACTCAGAACACTCCAGGAATGGCTCCTGTTTTCTAATTAGATTACTTCACAATTCAGAGAATACAATTTCATGCCTTGGCAATTCTCCAGATCACCTGTCAAACACTCTGTACCTGCCGGTCTTTTCTGGACAAGGGGATTCTGAGCTTAGAAACGGGCCTTTTTGAGGAGCCACTACAGAACCCCCGAACCCTGGGGGGTGTTGGCCATTGTAATCTAGTATGGTAACATGTCCAGGCTCTGATGCTGTTCTGTCTGTAAAAAAATATACAGATTTGGTTCTCTTTCAAAGATGACGCATGTTGCCAAAACATCTCACATCGCTCAGCGATGTGTGAGAACCTTCTGAGAAAAGTGGCTGCAATTTCTATGTGACGGAGCAGAAAGCAACACAACCTGTCAAAAGCAGCCAGAAAGGTTCAAGGCTGGGGCAAGGCGTATCTCTTTGAGTCAAGAGTCTTTGCATATCCCAAATTTCAGGATCAGGGCTCCCTTCCCTTCCAATCACCCCCACCCGATGCAAGATGCTTGTCATTCTACATTGGAATTCCTGCTTTCCTTAATTCCGAAATTGCACTCTGGCGGCTTAGATATCTACAGTACCTCCGCGAGTCCCATCTTAAAAGGCAACAGATGCCCAGATCCCAAATATTTCAGCGAGATGCTGCGCAGCAGAATTTCCTGGCAAATTGTGCCTAAAACTGATAATTGTCTAAATAATTAAAAACAAATCCCACCCGCCCACTACTTTAAGAATACAAAGGAAGAAATGTATGATATCACCATGCCCATTCTGTATTTCAAATGCTCTTTAATTTCTTTAAAGTCATACATCCACCCACCCCCCATAATAAGGAGGGCTCCAGAATGCCAAGTGTGAGATTGATCAGCCCGGTTCTCTATCCACGTAGTTCATCTTTCTTCCCAATGCATGTGAGTCCCATTTTGGTTATTTTCCTTGTCTCCTCTGTTCCACATTTCTTCCGTTCCTGTCCTGTTGCAAAACTTGGAAAGTGGGGGGGGGGGATTATTCCTATGGATTACAAATCCCAGAGTCCCCACTGCCAGAACGGTTAGAACCCACATAAGCACCGGAATAATGTTTCTATGCTCTGAGTTAGGAACCAAGGGCTTTGCTAGTACGTACAACTTGGGGTGGGGGGCGCTCTAGCAGCCAAGGTGCAAAAGTCTGGAAGCTGGTCGGGGATCACAGGGCTGACAAGTGAAGGTCACGTGAACGGCGGGTTCCTAAAGGAGATGGAAAAACAG